GCTCACGAGCCAGGCAAATGAGGAGCAGAAGAACATCGTCCCGAGCCGCAGCCTGGACGGTTTCGATCGTTAGTCGCGTTCAGAGGAAACATATATATTGGGCAACGCACCCAATATTATTTGCGTTCGCACTGAGGCTCACGAGCGCCGCCGGGACTACACTCACATAGCCGCCTGCCAGTGGGGCGGTTCCGTTAGTTTCTAAGTATCAGCATATTGGAACCGTGTCAACACACCGCTGGCGAAGCCAAATACGCCGTTAAACGCGAGTATGGCCGAGGTCGAGTGCGCGCTGACCCAGACGAAACTTAGTATGCCGGCGAGGGAGCACGAGCAGATGAGCATGTTGATAGGCCCGACTCGTTGTGCAATGAGATTTGGGAGCAGCCGGCCCGCGAGGGAGACGGCGTTGAGGATTGAGAGTCTGCGATTTGGGGAGGGGGTGGAGTTAGGTTTATGGAGAGGCCAGAGGAAGTGGATACATGCGAGTAGAACGCGAGGTCTGCCGAGACACCGTTGGCGACAGCGTAGGTGACACCGTAACTCAGCGGCGCATACCTGGGGAAATGAATATATATCAGTTCGTTGCAGGTTGAACAATTGAAGCGCGCACAGTCCCAAACTAATGAGAGTGATGCCGAGGACGAGGAAGCAGTATGCGCGATCCTCGACTGGAAGCGTGTCAACAACAGGCGAGGGAGAAACATCGGAGAGTGTAACGGACAAACGCGAATATCCACTATACGGTCAATCTTCCGCGGGGGAAGGCGTCTTGAACAACATACGAACCCGCAACTCATGCAAAACAGAACGATAAAAGCCACTATCCAGGTGCTGTTCAATTAATCCCATACAGGAAAAAAAACTCCGCTTACACGTTCGCACCGCCCACGGGAAACCCACCTCGTCGAACAGTCGCCGCATCGCAATGGGCAGAACCGTTCCTCCTATAGAGGCACCAGCTGCGTAGATGCCGAACGCAACGATTTTGTATTTTTTAAAGTGGTGCCCGATAGTCGAAATGGCGGGCGAGAAAACGATGCCCATAGCAAGCTGTTGTTTAAAATGTTCATTGCGGGTGCATGGTCAAGTGGTTGGAGCAGGCTTACCCCGACGCCTAGTCCTTGGCTGAGTACGAATTGGTAGAACTCTGCGGGAGATCAGTTAGGATGGGTGGCACGAGAAAAGACCGGCTTACCTGTTGAAATGGATGTCATGAAAAGACAGAACACGTAGAGTGTTCCGCCAAACGCGATCATCGACTTCAAATACTGCAAAGATTAAGTGAGGACGAGGGTGTGCCCAGCCAGTAATGAAAAAGTTTCTACCCCAGCGTCAAACATCGGGCCGCTCACGCATCCAACCAGAAGGACGAGGGATAATTGCAGCGACCCTATCCAGGATATATCGCTCAGAGGCCGGTCCTTCAGTTGATTTACGCTATAGTGTTCCTCAAAAACACCAAACTGGGGGGCAGTCAGACCATTATTTATGGCGAACTCAGGAAGAGACAGACGCACACTGGTGACCACACCATCTGAGAGGACAGGTCAGTTAGTGCTTAGTGCTGGACATCGGAAAGAGTGAAAGAAAGTGACTCACAGCAACAAAAGTTGACCATGAAACCCTAGGGGGGGACGATAAACGAGTCACTTCGGAGCCGCCGGATGTGCATGCATAACGCATAACTCACCCCAAGGACAGTCGCCCACGCGCGGAGTCCGCCATCCGGGAACTCCACCTCTTGGTCTTCCACGGGCACCGGCACGACGGCGGCTTCTTCTGTGGAGGGAGAGAGAGACTTCTCGCCGCGTTCCACGCTCACATTCGCGTCCTCGGTGGGCATTGAATATGTGAGAGGAAGGGGGAGGCCAAGATCCACATCATCGCCGAAAAAGGCCTTGACTTAGTCATGGTGCGGATTTGCGGTCCGAACGGAGGCATTTGTTGTGGGAATTGATCGCTGATCGCGGTTGCCGTTCGGCATGTTGAACTTTCCAGGAATCAACGCTGGGGAGACGAAATGTGTTGTAATGCTTACTTTGAGGAGCAAATGTAAAGCCCAAGGTTGCTTCACTACAGACCAAGCTCCATTGCATAATAAATAGGCCCTTCCACTCCCTCGGGCATCTCGGCGATGTTCAAATGCAATCGAGGGCGAGTGGAAACCAATTATTCCTCCATCATGTTTGAACCAAGGAACTGGGCTCTCTCTCGTCGCTGAGTACGGTCAAATGCTGAGCTCGGACATGGTAACAAATATTGCGACTCGCGTAGTGCCATTGAGTAGTATTACAAGATGAGTGGGGGTGGTGGGTTTGAACTTTGTTGTCGTGAATTGTACCTCCGTTGGATCACTCCTGGTCGAACCAAGGATCCGACAACAATTCCTCCGCATTACAACGGTCTCCCGGGGCGATGCGCAGGCATCGTTTCAATAGCTGTGCAAGGGATTCTATCTCTGCTTCGCTCAGGAAGCCAGGCTCCTTGAGTTTGAGTTTGATGAGAAGCTCGAACGGGGCGCGAGAATATAGGTGCAATTCATGCTGTCCTCCACAGAGGGTCCAGGGAGTGGTTGGGATACCGCAGAGAATACAATGCCGTCGTAAGAAGCCTGAGTCTTGTGGGTTCGAGAGGGATCTCTCGCAAGGAACGCGTCCACGTCGCTCGTAGACATGACATTGTTGACGAAGATATTGTCAAGCTTGATGTCGGTGTGGACGACACCGGACTTGTGTGCATGCACCAATCCACGTAGCGCATGGAAGAGAATGCGTTTGACCAAAGGAAGGGGAGGAGGGTTCTTCCAGACGGATCTCCAAACGGACTTGACATCCCCAGCAAGCAGTGGCGTGACGAAACAGAGATGCGAGCCAGCCGACCCTTTTCCCAGGACGGTAAAGGAGTCCTGTAGGCTCAAGCAATTCTCGTGCGGTGGGGACGAAACTCGGAGAAGCGCATCGCGCTCCCACAACATACCCTTCTCAGCGCGATCGGTGTTATACCCAGTCAGCGCCTTCAGCGCCGAATAGGTCCGAGATCTAAGGTGAGAGGTCAATCACCGGTGCACGACGACGTGCAACACTGACATCTGGTCATGAACCAGCCATGTACTCGAGTTCCCTCCCACTCCCAACTTGCGCACGATCTTGTAGCGTCCATCTGGACCCAATAGTTCCCCGAATTCGAAGCAAGGAAAACCAAAGCCCTTCTCAGCAGGAACTCCCAAAGGCTCCTCCGCAAACGTGAAGTTGACACGGCGGGTTCCGTCCGGTGCCACGAACCAGTGCTGGTTTTTTGTCATAGGAACCGGCGAGAGCTCGGTCCCAGCGCGAGGATCCTCGGTCCAGTGGACGGGCGCGGGGACAGATTCCGGAGAAGTCGCGAAGCGCCTAGCAAGGAGTTGGGGTTTGCATCTTATTCGGAGCTGTACGCGAGCCTGAGAGCCGAGTTGGGGAAGCATGAGAGATGCCAGATCCAGGCAGAGGCTCAGGCGAAAGTCGCGACTTGTGGGTCCAATGTGGGTCCAATTCCCCATCAAAATGACTTGCCCTCCGAGCTTTATGGCGAGAACTCTCGAGAACTGGGGAGTGTCAAGAATCTGGCCGCTGGCGGTAATGTTCGGGCGAATCGAATCCGACTCGGGATTCCCTCCAAACATTCATAACGCTATCTTGCGCGGGTAGAGGAAGCACGGCAGATCCCCTTTCAAAGGACAGTTGGCGTTGCTGGGCAGCGAGTGTTTATTGTCCGTTCTCGCCCGTGTCCTCCGCATCTGTCTGCGCAGCCTCCAGGTCCTTCGGGCAGCACGTCGGCCAGTCCTCTTCGGCGACGTCAAGAAGGGGCCCAGGCTGCCCTTAAATATTCTCGGAGTTCGTCGCGGATGAGTTCAGCCTTGGACTTTCTCGGGGTCATGGCAAGGCCATGGTGGTGAGTCTGGTCAAGAGCCGATTGGGCGCCGCCTGTCATTGATGCGAGCACACTGCCACCCGCCAAAGCATCTTCCCCCCGCTCCATGGGGAATTAATAATGTCCTCACGCGGACGCAGACGTCGCGAATAGAAAGGCTCAAAAAACCCGCAAAAAAATAGTACTGGCCCTGTGCCTACGGGACGTCGATCACGACATGCAGTGGGGGTCGTTCAGCAGGAGGAGGAGGAGGAGGAGGAGGAGGAGATAGTATTACTGCAGAGGTCCCGATAAGGAACAAGCAGGTGCTGTACCGACATACACGCGTCCTATGTATGCTACAGCCATCAACGGCTCGGTCGCTGTGATCGCGTAAGGCCATGATAGTCCCTACACGTCTCACGACAAAACTTGGAAGATGGGTAAAAACTGGATGTCCTGAACAGTAGTGAAGCATCCTTGGGGTTCCCAGCGAGAGCGCGCCACTCGCCGCCGAGGGGTACGCTTGAAGTCGAAATGAATGAGAATACAGGGAGCCCGTACCTTAGGACACCTCGACGTAAGGAATATGTCGTGCGCTACAGTGTCCCGTGGAATAACTGAGCTTTGGAGGAAATATGGGGCCAGAGCTTGTGGTTCGCATTGTCCGATGGGCCGAGGTCGAGCAGAGACAAGGGATAGGGGCCCTTCCGCGCATGTGTTTAATATTTAGGGGCCTTCAGCTCGTTGTCCGAGACGTCCCGAGGATGGCCAAGGCATCTTCAAAGTTGTTCGTTCGAGCTCGGAACAAGAGGAGGAAAGGCACTGTGCACCTCTTGACCAGGTTGAGTCGTTATCGCGAGCATCTGCTGCCCATTCATTGGCCAAATGTCGACACAGAAGGCGTAGCCCCTATTTGTCGATATCGACGGCGACGTGGAGGTCTAGCGCTATGCGCCTGGCCGCGAGGATGGAATTGTGAGTGCCGAGTTCACTGCGCGGGAGGCCGGGAGTTTGGCTCGGCGTCGGCAGTCTTCTCATAAAGTGCACATGATGGTCAGAGGACAGAATGCAGGACAGCGAATAACTGGCAGGATATACCCGATAGTGTGTCCACTATGGTACAGTGGTTAAACGCCAGCCTCCGTGAAAAAAAAGATCGGAGGCTGGGGCTGGAGGATCGAATCCTCCAGGTGGCACATGGGGTTGCCGGGACCTCGGCTTCGGCCCTGCTCCCGCGAGAGACACAGTACGGATTCTCCTTCATCCAATATTAGCGGTGTTTCAATTTTTGCCCCTCTTACCGTGTTCCTATAGCACGCGATGGAGCTTTTGATTACCACCCTCTTCTCCACCCAGCCATAAACAACCTTCCGGGGAACTTCATGCTACCGCCCTTGAGAGAAGTGATCGCCGAATCTCAGGGCGCAGAGTCTTAGCACCCTGCATTGCACCCCATGGCCGCAGCGATGAAAGACGAAACCCCACGAACGATAGAGCATGCTCACGTAGACTGCCTTGCTCCCTGACGTCGCCTTTCCTCGTTCATCGGGCCCCGACTGACGATCGAATCACAGCGACAATGAACGCCTCACAGGAGCCGACTTGAGGCGAATTATATTCAAGTGTTTGCAGTGCAACTTGGACTCGGAAGAGAGGCTCAACCTTTGCCTGGTTTCTGGCTTTTCTGCCGGCATGTGAATCGACTGTCACCAACTCCCGCCGTCCCTTGACAAAAGCTCTTGCTCGAGTCTAATGTCGACCGCTATAGGGGCGCCAAAATACGGATACTACAAGAACGAACATAAAGGGAAACAAAGTGTGTGTTTGAAGTGTTTCCTTGTCCGTGGATTGGAGTTACTTGCAGATTCAACAGGGCGAGGGCCGCGAGGACCATTGGCAATATTTCGCAAGTCCAAATGCGTCGGCGTCCGAGTCGGCTTAGCGTACTGGTCATGCCGACACGGAGGCAGCACACGATGGGGAAGTCACGGAAGAGCGCCGGATATTTGCCGGATGTTTGAGCGGAGCCTTCACTGTACATCCATACTATTATTGAGGCGCCAGAGGCTGCGGCTTGAGACTGAAGACGGAAACTGGCATTTATTGCGGAGACAGCCAAAGATAAACGGTAGCTCTTGAGACACCAGGTCAGAGAACGACTATAGTAGGATTGGCTGCGCTGCAAAATGAGTCCACTTTTGCGTCGATGAGGGGAGAAAGCAAGAATCGCGGGTTACATAATCTTGCCACCCACCAAACACGGCTACCACGAACCAATGTCCCGCATCCCGCAGCCAACCTCTCGGGGCACACCGCGCAAGACCCCGACGACTCCCACGGCCGCGACGGAGACGCCCCGATTGAGGACGAAATCGACTTATGCGCGGCCCCCCTCAAAATCGCCACGGAAGCCATTCGCAGACGATTCGTTCCTCGACAAACCAAAGGCGGGAGAGGCTGAGGCGTCTTCAAAGCCTCTATCGATCAAGGAAGCTATCGCGTTGAAGCGAGCGCAAGCGAAAAAGGCGCAGACGCGCAATATACCAAGTCCTTTAGACGATTTTTCAAGCCTTGCAGATGCGATTCCCGATGTCGTCCCCCAACCACCCGAAGAGGAGGACATCCTCGGTCGACCACCGCTGCGCGACACGATAGAACGCGCAAAGAGCACCGGTATGTCGTCTCGTTTCCCTTGTATAGCCTGCTTATCTCAATAGGGCTCGAAAGGCTCTCTAAACCTTTCCACCCGCTCTTTGCAGTGTATTCCGTCCGCCCTCTTTGACCTGCATCTGGGGATCACACCAGAACCCCTCAAGTCTGTGCCGCAAGAGCCCCCGCTACCACCTGCGCCAGAAACCGCGCGCAGACGTCCCGGGCCTGCCTGGTTTGAGATCCAAGATCTCGAGACTTTGAAGGCGTGGGGGAACGACATAGTGGAGATCCAGCCCGAAATCGCGCTTTTTGGCTCGTTAAAGACTGTAGATGTGCGTGTCGCGTTTCTCTATTTTCGTCTCAAGCTCAAAAGCTACAGTTGCACAAAAATAAAATCGTCTCACTTCCGGCCCAATTCGCTGACCTCGCCGCGCTAACCACGCTCGACCTCTCCCACAACGCCCTCACCGGCCTCCCGTCCGCCCTATTTTCCCTCCCTGCGCTCGCCAACCTCAATGTCGCAGACAACGCGCTCACCGCGCTCCCCTTCTCTGCACCCTTCTCCGGAGCGTCAGCCGTGAAATCGCATACGCGCTCGACCAGTCTGTTTGCAGCAGAGGTCCCCCGCGCGTCCACACCCCTGCCCAAACTCACGATCTTAAACGTGGCGCACAACAAGCTCACCGCGGCGGGCATCGACCGCAAGCTGCCCGTTGCGCTGGTCACAGTCGATTTATCGGGCAACCCACTGGAGAGCGGCGACCCAGTCGGCGCGCGCGACCTGTTCGCTGCCCTGGGAGCGCTGTCGAGGTTGAAAACCCTGCGGTGCCACAGTGCCGAGGTGTCTGATTCGCTCTTTGACGGCCTCCCCAACACGGCGACGTTCCCGAACCTGTCGCTGCTCGATTTCGGGTCGACAAAGGTGACCGAGGGCGCTGCCTCGGTGGGCTTGAAGGCGCTCAAGCAAATAGTGAGCTTCGAGGTAACAAACGACGACCCAGCGCCGGGGACAGTGCGTGTGATGATTGGAAAGAGGATTGTGAAAGAGGCCTGGGAGGTGGAGGCAGAGCGGCGGTCGAAGGCGCGGGGAAAGACGGCGGAGGAAGCCGTCGAATGGGAGAACGCGTTTCCGGTGCGCGCACCCAAGGGCGGGCAGGCGGTGAAGGCGAAAGGACCAGTGGTGAAGGAGGCGTGGGAAATCCAGGCGGAGCAGGGACTGCTCACCGAGGGAGGAAAGCGGCGCGCGCGGGCAGCGGCTGCAGCAGCTGCCGCCGCCTCAGGTGGGGGCGACGCATCTGAAATTGGGAGAGGGGTCCCGCCGCGGCAGGGCTCGCCGACCAAGTCCTCCGGGTTTTCGCTCGCGGATCCGCAGTACTACACTGCGCGGACAGAGACGCTGGTCCTCCCCGCATCCACCGCGCCCCCAAAGCTCGGTGGTTTCGGACACGCCCGCGCGTTTTCCCTCGCCGCCACCTCCACGCTCAAATCTACCGGGAGTGCGAGCGACGTCGCGCTTCCGACCGCGACGCTTCCCCTGTCGCTCATCGCCGCGCAGCCATTCGCTGCAACCCTCCGCGTCCTGACGCTCACGAACCGGCGCCTCGACCGTTCCTTTGCGCTCCCGCCTCTGCCGCTCCCTGGATCGGATTCCCCCCTCCTCCCGCGGTTGGAGGAACTGAGCTTAGAGGGGTGCAATCTCGGTGATGCGGTCGCCGTCTCTTTCGCCGATGCGGGAGCCGGTGGGATGCAGCTACCGAGCGAGACGCGGGACACGCTCCCACTACTGGCGCAGCTGTTCCCTGGACTGCGTCTCTTGAACATGGCGTATAACACACTGACCGGGGCGGCGCTCACCGAAGAGGTGCTCGCTGCGCTCATTATGCCTTCCCCTTCCTCTTCTTCACCTCCTGACGAATCGGATACCCCGACGAAGCCCCTCGGCCTGAGGCAGCTGCACCTGCGCGGGAACCGCATCGCCGCTCTGGACGGATTCCAGGCGATCGCCCTCCATCTGTTCAAGGGCAACCGTGACGTGCCGGGGTGGGGGCTCGAGGAGCTGGATCTGCGGGATAACGAGATTGGGAAGCTGCCGTCGGAGATGGGGATGCTCCCGCTCGATGTCCTTTTGGTGGATGGGAATGTGTACGTGTCCTTGTGTCCCTGTCACTTTCGCTTTCCTTCCTTTCCCTGCCGTCTTCTTCCTTATGCTGATACTTCAAAAAATCACAGGTTCCGCGTCCCCGCACGCAGGGTGTGGGAGCGGGAAGGGACGAAGGGGCTGCTAAGCTGGTTGCGCGGGCGAATGGAGTGACCTATGGATTCTGTGTTTTATTCTCTGCGGACTACTGCTCATCATGCGTACCGTCCGTTGTCTATCCAATGAACGGTGCTGAGACTCTTCGACCCTGCAGCAGCACATGGAAGTAACACTCGAAGGCGAGCCGCGAGTTGTCTCTCTTTCCTTTCTCTCCCGTATGCCATTTCTTTCGTCTGACCCTCCTGGTTTAGTAGTCCTCGCTGCCCGTATGCACATGCTGGGTCTTCGGATGTGGGCGCCTTTGCACATGCCCTCCCGCGTACCTGAATGACTGCACGCCGTGCGGATCATAGCATCTGTTTGTGGGGGACCGGTCCTACGCCGTCCATAATGCATACTACCTCAGTTCGCTTATGTCCGTCGATTCCTCGCACTCGATGGCGCGTACCTGAATAAACGCCGCTGAAACTAGACCTCTGTGTCCTGTGATCTGTCCGTACTTCCTGCTCAGACTGAACTCCGATTTATAGATTTGGTTACGCCTCTACTGGTCCGCCTGAAGTTTGAAATTGTGAGTGGGTCAAGTGTTCAGTATTGCCGCACATTTCACGCTAGCTAGTTTTGATGCGTCTTCCACCCCTGATGAAGCGCCCACAACTAGTCAACAGCCCAGCTCCGTCCGACGCGACGCACGACGGGCCGACGCGACTTCAGACACTCTCACGTAGTACAGCCCGAGTCGGTGTTCGATCGCCTGTGTCCGCGCCGACGCGCCGTTCGGATTTTATGTGGCCACAAACGCAGCACCGCCGTTCGGACGTCCTTGGCCACAAACATGGCAAGGTCCGGCTTACCGACCATTCTATTGAATCTGCTCTTGGCCTGGTTTCAAGGCGGGGAGTCACTGGGAACGCATTGAACAAACACCGGGGCATGAGAAGATGAGGTATTATCTTCGCTTCCAATCAGTTTTGCTGGTGCGTCTTCATTGATCACGGAGGCTTCTGCTCATTCACCGATTCCAGGGTTTTGCTCGTTGACGAACTTGTCACCAATGTACATAGTCGTTCACCTTTCCCAAGGCATATCTCGCCTTGTCGGACTTACCGGGCCGCCGGATACAGAAATTGTTGTTGAACTTTGTGGGTCCAGTTCAGATCAAGCATAAAAGTCGGCCGGAACTGGTAAATCCGTTGGCAAGTTGTCCGTCCCCGTCAATCACTATTTCTTGGCCAGATAGGGCCAGAACCTCTCCAACAAGCTTTTCCATGTGGGCGGATCGATTCA